TGCGACCCCATGGGCTGTAGAGTCCATGGAATTCTCCAGGCCAGAATACTGGTGTGGGGAGCCTTTCCCTTCTCCAGAGGACCTTCCCAACCCAGGTGTCAAACCCAGGTCTACCATACTACCATACTGCAGATTCTTTACCAGCTGAGCCACAAAGGAAGCCCCAGGGAATCCCTCTATTAAACATAAGCAGTTCAGAAAAACAGAAATTAAAATAGGGTGGAATTGGTATAAAAATAGATATAAATCAATGGAACAAAATATATCATGTTCAGAAACAGAGCTATGTAAATACAGAAACTTGACATAAAGGAGGCGTTTCTCATCTTTGACCACCTGCACAGAAAAACCCTGATTCAAAGCACATGACCTCTTATTTCCGCCGCCTCCACCGTCTTCTCAAAAGAGAAGTCAGAGTGATTCTGTTAAAAAATGTTTCAATTTAAAGAATTATATACCATCACCAAGGCTGTATATTGTCACCCTGCTTATTTAACTTATATGCAGAGTACATCATGAGAAACTAAGACCCTGATGCTGGGAGGGATTGGGGGCAGGAGCAGAAGGGGGCGACAGAGGATGAGATGGCTGGATGGCATCATCGACTCGATAGACATGAGTCTGAGTAAACTCCTGGAGTTGGTGATGGACAGGGAGGCCTGGTGTGCTGCGATTCATGGGGTCGCAAAGAGTCAGACACGACTGAGCAACTGAACTGAACTGAACTGAACTGAACTGAACCAAGTGAGATTTATCCCAGGAATGTAAAGGTGGCTCAATGTAAGAGAATCAATCAATATAATATGTAACTTTTACAGAATGAAGGAAATACAACTGACCACCTCAACTGACATGGGCATTTGACAAAATCAAATACTCTTTCATGATAAAAACTCAGAAAACTAGGGATAGAAGGGAATTTCCTCCAGACAATAAAGGGCACTTATGAGAAACACAGTTAACATCATACTCAACGGTAAAAGACTGAAGATCTTTTCCCCTAAAATCAAGATCAAGACAAAGATACTCCTTCCACCAAAGCTATTGAACAGAGTACTGAAATTTCTAGCCCCGGAGAAATTAGGTATAAATAAGAAGTAAAAGGCAATAAATTGGAAAGAAGTAAAACTCTATTCATATATGACGTGACTGTGTCTATAAAAAAAAATCCCAAAGAAACCACAAGAAATCTACTAGATCTAATAAGCAAATTCAGCAAAGTTACAGGGTACATGATCAAGACACAAAAATCAGCTGTGTTTCCAGACAACCGCAATGAGCAATCTGAGAAGAAATTTAAAAAGTAATCTTGTTTACAATAGCATCTAAAAAAATAAAATACCCAGGAGGTGAAATTAAAAACCTGTACATCAAAACCTACAAAACATTGCTTGTAAGGCATAGATCAGGTGAGGCAGAAAAGGAAAGATGACCTCAACAGAAGTAGGTTACCTTTATTTAGGCAAGGAGGGGCGACAGTCAGCCTAAGGACCAGGCTGAGTGCTGACAGTGATCAGGGAGGCGTCATACTTATAAGGAGGTTTGTGGAAGCAATAAGGGAAATATCAATCAGGCAGGATATTTTGAGTATTCTTTTGTTGAGATAACATTTGTAGTTGGGCAGTGGGTGATAAGTCTTCTGGGCGGGTGTAGGGGGTGGTAGGTTTCCGGACAGGGGGTGATAAGTCCCAGATAGATGCAACTGGCCTGGAGCATCAGGGCTGAACTAAAGTTCTGTTTTGTTTTCTCCGAAGTTAGATGATTCAGCAAGGGGCCTTTGAGACTGTTGTTCTCTTTTCTAGACCCAAAAGACTCCTTCATTGCTGCCAATTAAAGAAGACACTTCATTCACAAAGAAGACAAGTTCCACCACAACAAATGGAACACCACCTGTGTTCACGGAAAGACTTAATACTGTTAAGAGGTCATACAACCCCAAGCTACCTACAGATTCAACACAATCTCTATCAAAATTCCAAAGGCCTTTTTTTTGCAGAAATGGAAAAGCTAATCCTCAAATTCATATGGAATTGAGAGTTCCCTGGCAGTCCAGTGATTAGGACTCATCACTTTAACTGCTGTGGCCCGGATTCAATCCCTGGTCAGGGAACTAAGATCTCCCGAGTCACCCAGCATAGCCCCGTCCCCCCCCCACCAAAAAAAAAATGCATAGGTAAAATGGTTCCACCACTGTGGAAAACAGTTCCTCAAAAAGCTAAACACATAATTATCATACGATCCAGCAAGTCCACTCCTAGGTACAGACCCAAAAGAAAGAGGAACTGGAAACAGGGACTCAAGTAGATCCTTGGAAGCCAATGTTCAGTGCACCATTATCCACAACAACCAAAAGGGGGGAAACCCAACTGTCTGTCAACAGATGAATGGATAAACAAAATATAGTATGTACACACAACAGAAACATATTCAGCCATAAAAAGAAATTAAGTTCTAATACATGGTACGACGTGGATAAATCTTGAGAACATTATGACAAGTCAAATAAGTTCAGATGCAAAAAAACAAATATGATTCCACTTGTATATAGTATCTAGAATAAGCAAATTCATAGAGAGCAAGCATATCAGAGGTTACCTGGGGCTGGACAGAAGGGTAATGGGAAGTTGTTGCTTAATTAACCAGTTACAGAGCTTGTTTGGATTGATGAAGAAGTTTTTAGAAATAACAGTGATGGTTGTGTAATAGTGTAATTAATGTCACTGAATCATACATGTGAAAAATAGCTAAACTGGTAAACTTTGTTATATATATTTTACCACAGTTTTTTTAAGATCATTCCGCTCATGGTGTTTCCCTGACAAAACTCTCCAGTAACCTCCCATCTCCCTCAGAATGAAAACCCAAATTTTCAAAATTGCCTACCAGGTCCCATACAATCTGTCCCACACTCTTTTCTGTCCAACTTTATCTCCTACAATTCTTCTCCATCTCACTCTCTGCTAACTTACTGGCCTTGTAGTGAAAAAGTGAAGTCACTTAGTCATGTCCGATTCTCTGTGACCCCATGGACTGTAGCCCACCAGACTCCTCAGCCCATGGGATTTTCCAGGCAAGAATACTGGAGTGGGTTGCCATTTCCTTCTCCAGGAGATCTTTCGGACCCAGGGATCAAACCCAAGTCTCCCACACTGCAGGCAGACGCTTTACCGTCTGAGCCTCCAGGAAAGCCCTGCTCTTCAAATACACCAAGCAGGCTCCCTCAGGGCCTTTGCACTTTCTTTTACCTCAGAGAGCCACAAAACTAGCTCTCTCACTTCCTTCAGCTCTTTACTCAAAAATTACCCAGGTGGCAAAGAGGATAAAGAATCATCCTGCAATGCAGGAGACCGGGGTTTGATCCCTGGGTGAGGAAGATCCCCTGGAGAAGGGAATGGCTACCCACTCCAGAATTCTTGCCTGGAGAATCCCACGGACAGAGGGGCCTGGCAGGCCACAGTCCACGGGGTTGCAAAGAGTCAGACACGACTGAGCAACTAACACTAACAAGGAGTGAAGTAAGTCAGAAAGAGAAAAACAAATATCATATATTTTATGCATCTATGCAGAATCTAGAAAAATGGCATAGATGATCTTATTTGCAAAACAGAAACATAACACAGAGAACAAACCTATGGACACTAAGATGGGGAGAAGGGGGGATTAATTGGGAGACTGGGATTAACACAAATACACTACTGATACTATGTATAAAATAGATAACTAATGAGAACCTACTATACAGCACAAAACGACTCAGTGACCTGTGGTGACCTAAACGGGAAGTCCAAAAAGAGAGGATCTATGTATACATACAGCTGGTTCACTTTGCCTTACAGTAGAAACTAACACAACATTGCAAAGCACCTATACTCCAATAAACACTAATTCAAAAAAATTACATTCTCAGCCAGGCCCTTGCCTGACCACCTTACTGTAAAATTTCAGTTTCCTACCCTCACCCACACTCCTCATCTCTCTTTCCTTTATTATTCTCCATGGAATTTTCACCTTCTGACATACCAGGCATTTGACTTACAGCCTATCTCTCTCCAAAATGCAAACTTCCCAAAACAGAGCGATTTGTGTTTGTTTTGTTCACTGACTGACCTAGAGCGGCGCTCGGTAAACATTTGCGGAATTAACAAAGGGAGATCACTGTTTAATAGCATGAAAATCTAACTGCCCGAGCCATAGATTTCAACTCCCTAAAAATTAACATGCCAAGTACTCTTAAAACACTACTAAATTAGCATCTTAAGGATGTTAATATCCTCTTCTGTAGGGAGAATATTTACACACTGACACATAACTAAAAAACAACTCAATTTTAACCAGGAAAAAAACAAACAACAACAACAAAAATTAAAGACTGAGTATTCTGAATTCAAAAATCCAACATGATTTGTTACTTTACACAAAAGGGAGGTGGAAAAGGAGAACGAAGATGTCCATCCCTAAAGAACCTCCCACCCAAAGCCCAGAGACCTACTCTGCGGGACTGAGCACCTCCAGGTCGGAGAAGGTTAGAAAGATACCCCGAGGCCTACATCCTGAAGCAAGGTTGGGGGTAAGGACACGTTACCCTGAGATGAGCCAATTCAACGCGACTTGTCTATCAGCTGGGTGACTTGTGCAGCGACCCAACACCACGGCCTTGAACCAGACATCCGAGTTCGATACCGATTCCACAGAACTCATTCCCGCGCTGCGGAGCCCACGCAGGCGAATCGCTGCGCACACAATACGTGTCACTCCTGGGACACGGACCTTCCCCACCCCTCCCTCCGGGCTCCGCCACGCCCCCGAGTACTCCGCTCTCGGAGCGCCGAGCTGCAGCCCCACCCACCCCAGCCCATCTGGCTACGCGGCGCGCATGCGCGGAGGGGGTCTCGCCGCCGCTAAGCGCTACGGGAAGTGTAGTCTCCGCGCGGGCGCCGGTGGGCCGCCCGAGTCCTAACGTCTCCGCGGTACCTGGAGAAGTCAGAACAGCCTCGCCTCACCCAGGTCCTCGTCTCCATCTTCACACCTGTCCGGTCACCTCACGCTCACGCCCCAGTCCCACGCGCTGGGCTTCTGTCAGGGCGGGCCACAGAGGAGAGCCCGAGACCCGATCTTCGCTTCAGCGGGCTGTGCTGGAGGAGGCGGGGTCCACTGCCCGCCTCCCGCCGCCTCCCTCCCCTGGCGGCGGCGGCGGGGGAGCAGGCAGGGGGCGGCGGCTGCCATAGAGGGGCCGAGAACTGGCGGCGGCGGCGGCGGCGGTCGTGAAGGGCACCGGTGGCGGCGATGATGGTAGTGCTGATGTGAGTGTCTGCTGACTGGGGGGACCCGGGGGCTGCCGAGCCCGAGGCGGGCGGCCCGGCGCAGAGCGGGAGCGGGAGGCCAGGGGCGGCGGAGGGATGCTGAGCGCCCAGTGCGGAGCCGGGAGACGCCGCCCGCTCGCCCGGCCGCTCGCCCGGCCGCCGCAGCCCGTCCGGGAGAGGCGGGGAGCCCGGCGCTGCGGCGGCCCGATGTGGGGGTCCCGGGCAGAGGCTGGGGCAGCGCAGGCCGAGGGGCGTCTGCGATTGTTCTCAACACCCCCTCCCCCACCCCACCCCGTGTGTCTGTTTGTCACTTGCAGCTGAAGATGGAAAGAGCCAGGCGAAGGGGAGGCGGCGGCGGCGGCGGCGGCGGCCGTGGCCGCGGCGGCAAGAATGTAGGGGTCTCTGGCCTAAGCAAGAGTAGACTGTACCCCCAGGCCCAGCACTCCCACTACCCCCACTACGCGGCTTCAGCCACCCCTAGTCAGGCTGGGGGCGCCGCCGAAATCCAGGAGCTGGCCTCCAAACGAGTGGACATCCAGAAAAAGAGGTTTTACCTAGACGTGAAGCAGAGCTCGCGGGGCCGGTTCCTCAAGATAGCCGAAGTCTGGATAGGGAGAGGCCGGCAAGACAATATCAGAAAGAGTAAACTGACCCTCTCCCTGTCGGTGGCAGCGGAGCTGAAGGAGTGTCTAGGGGACTTCATCGAGCACTACGCCCACCTGGGCCTGAAAGGCCACCGGCAAGAGCACGGTCACGGCAGAGAGCAGGGCTCCAGGAGGAGACAGAAGCACTCAGCGCCCTCCCCGCCGGTCTCGGTGGGGTCCGAAGAGCACCCCCACAGTGTCCTCAAAACAGACTACATCGAGAGGGACAACAGGAAATACTATCTAGACCTGAAGGAAAACCAGCGGGGTCGCTTCCTAAGGATTAGACAAACCATGATGCGGGGGACTGGCATGATAGGTTATTTTGGCCACACTTTGGGCCAAGAGCAGACTATTGTCCTCCCAGCTCAAGGAATGATCGAGTTCCGCGATGCCTTGGTTCAGCTCATCGAAGACTATGGCGAAGGGGACATCGAAGAACGCAGAGGTGGAGACGACGACCCCGTGGAACTCCCCGAGGGGACTTCTTTCAGAGTGGACAATAAAAGGTTCTACTTTGATGTGGGCTCTAATAAATATGGAATTTTCCTGAAGGTAAGTGAGGTGAGGCCACCTTACCGTAATACTATTACCGTTCCATTCAAAGCTTGGACAAGGTTTGGGGAGAATTTTATCAAGTATGAAGAAGAGATGAGGAAAATTTGCAACAGCCATAAAGAAAAGAGCATGGATGGCAGAAGGGCCAGTGGTGAAGAACAAGCATGCCTCGACTAAGATGAAAGTGAACTCCATCAGGCAAAAGTTAAAATCATAGATTGGCTAAAAGAACTGATCCATACTCATTTGAAGAAATTTCTCCTCTTTGGGGGCCCTTTGTTATCAGTAATACCTCTAGTAGTTTATACTTCAAGGAGTCTGATTCTCATGTTATGTTACCCGTAGAACACTCTAATTCTCATGGGAACTCCTGCCTTCCCAAAGCTAAATAGTTTAGCTGCTTCAACTGCTCCAGACTATTGAAGTATGCAAATCAGCACAAAGTATGACATTCTGACCTTCTAAGTACCCTAGCTAAGATTTACATTGCACTATGACATAAGCCTGAAAAAAATACATATGCCTAATATGGAAGTGTGAATTTCTATTATTAAGTTCCCCCCAAAAAAGTATTCCATGCCTACTTCATTAAAAGCTGCTAGAATTACCTGTAGGACAGTTACCACAGAAACAGAAATTGACTTCTATTCTAAATATATTTATTTATTTATAAAAGGACAAGGTGAAATATATTCAGTGTCCATTGGATAACTGAATATTAAACAGTCCCATTAAAGAATCAAATCTTAGTTACTATAGTATGCTATAATTTCAAATTTTGTGGTAACCCTACAGTTTATAGTTGCCGTATGAACGCTATAAGTTTTTATTGGTTATTCTAAGCTAGTTACAATTCTATCTTCACCTCTGATGATTGTACCATATATTATTAGTGGCTTTCCAAAGTTTCAGGAATTACTTTTTATGTCACTGTTGCGTGGGAGGCTTCATCCTATGGCTTTGCTATGGAAATCCTGATATTTTAGCTTTTCATACTAATTTGAAGGTTGTAAGAGGTTCTTTCCCAAAATATATCATAGGCTCAAGGTGTTATATTTTTTGCTGCTGCTTTACCACTATTTCAGAGGGGTTGGTGCACCAGTTATCTGATATAAAAATACATCTATAATAATATATTTTAGTAGCACTTTTAGCACCTTAAGACCATTTCAACACTTCCAGTATAAACCTGACTTTTACAGGTGTTTTAATTCCAGGAAAAGTTTTCTCTTTTCTAAAAAGCGTTTAGAATAAACATAAAATTTCAGCCTGAAAAATATTATTTGAAGATTGGTTACAAGCATATTTGAAAAGAAAATTCAGGCATTTTCCAAGGTGCTCTTTATGATACTTAAAAAAGTTTACTTTACACAAGACTCACCCATTTACTTGTATGAAAAATTACTTTCCAGGAAGTGCCACTGCAATTTTCCAACACCTAAGCAGTTTTTTAAACAAGTGGATATAATGTATATGTGTACCAACCCACCCTGTATTAAGTGACTGAAATTTTATCTGTTGAGCTGCATTTTATTCTGAATGAAATTACTGTCTTTTCTCTCGGCTTTCCTCACCTCCCACACAATAAGTCCATATAATCATGTTTAGGAGCCAAACACTGATTTCAACCCCTAAATATAGCTCTCATTGATGAGAGCTGACTGCTCGGATTGAGATCAGAATGTAGCTCTTCTTTTACATGCTATAAGTAATTCACAATTATTTTAACAGTTGTTTTCCCTCCAGAGGTTGTCCCCCAAAAGGTCACTAAACGAGATGAATTAAGAAAATGAATTTCACTAATTCATGTTACTTAAAAACAAGCAGTCAGTAACCCAGACGTATATGCTGGTGTTGGCTTTCGGATTGTATTTCCGGTTTCCTCAAACAGTGTGAAGGAATCTCACTAGTTCATTATAATTGTGGACCATCTGGATCACTGTGGAACAGCTGAAGGTTAGAAGATGATGTTAGTACTAGAGTTAATAGCACATGGTGGGTGTTGAGACACTAAAAGTAGCAAGGATCTTTAAACAGTCCTCACTGTAAAGTAACTATTGTAGACTTGATAAAAAGTAGCTTTGGGTTCTAGGAAGGAATGGTGTGCCCTTGCATTACAATACTACTGATTGCTTTGCTGCCCATCATAGTGCCTATGAATAATAATTAACCTGTCAGATTTTGGCAAACTGGAGCTGTGAATATTCCACTATTTGAGCATTCCTATCACTATTGCTGTGACTGTGTACTCTCTCTTAAAACCTTTTCTTCTAACATATTTATATCCGTTAAGTCTAAATGATTTCCTTTTTGGTTTTTAGTCTGGTAAGATTTGAGTGTGTGTGTCTATATATATATATATATGTATATGTATATATATATAATATATATATACACACACATATATATATGTATGTATATATGTGTGTTATATATATATATTCACACACACTACTATGTCAGACGTAAATATCCTTAGCTCATTGTATATAAATATTATTAGTTTAATTTTTCATTAATAATTCAAGTTAAAAATGGGTTAAGCAGCCAAATTTTCTACATGGTATGTATACTTCAAAGTTTTTACCATCTCAAAGCTATGGATTGCATAGATGCATATATACCGGCAGTTGAATATATTTTAAAATCATTAAGCCTTTTGCCAGTCCTTTAGTTTCTTTTTTTTCCAAAGTTAATGTTCACTGAAAAAGGAAATGATGCTATGATTTTTTGATACTTAAAATTTCCAATCATTCATTAGCTATAATCCAGTAAGATCCAGTCCAAAACTCTGGTATTAGGACATGTATTGCCATGTATCTTATAAAATAAGCTACTACTCTTATCTGTGCAATATACATTTTATTTATTGTCATTTGTATCACAAATGGAGCTGCAAGTGTACATGGTATTCTTCAAAATACTAGGATCCCTGCCTTGAAGATATAAAACTCTTAAGGCAACTGGATGTTAGCAATCAAAAAGTGAGCATTTCAGTTAGTAACCAAAATTACTCTTTCACTATATAACTCTAAAACACTGATGATGTTTGCACATAATAATCCAAGCATAATGTGGTACAGACTCAAAACTGTAATCATATAAGCTGGTAGTACAAAATCTGGAAACGGGTTCCTCTTCATTGTCGGCAGTGTGCTCCTACCAGTTGAAAGCCACACTAATCTGTTGCTTATATGCAAGAGATGCAATGTATTATAAAAGTATTCAACTTCTGCCACACTTTATATTTTCCTTGTTAAAGCCCCAAACTGCCATGTCCCTTAAACTTGAGTCAAACACAAGCTTATTTGCACTAAAGAGCATGGCCAAAAAATAAATGACAGGGTGGAAAAGCTAGTTGGAACCTCTTGAAATAATGGGTTCTAATGGGGGAATTTCACATTTGTCTATTTGAAAGCTATATGGTCCGGGCAGACAATCTGTCAGTTCACTAATTTAATAATGCACTTTACCTTTTGTATATAAAAGATGTACATTTATGCCACTGGACTGGTGGGACGTGTTTCAATAGCTGTGTAGTTTAGAATCTGTAGGGTGAGCTCTTGCATGCATATGTTTGTGTTGGAACTGCTGTAGTAACAAGTTTCCATTCAACCAGTGTCATGGAGAAGGGTAGAAGATGCCTCTGAAGTAAATCCCAAGACATCTAACAGAGAACTTTAGAGTTCATATTTGTATTCTTAAGGACTAGAATCAATTAATTAAACTCTTTCTAACCCAGACTAGTATTACAGTTGAGATTATATCTAATTGAGACTCCCCATAATACCCTGAAAATGAATTTTGGAAATTTGTGCAAACAAAAAAAAACTTTTAATGATTCTGTTTCATTTTTGATGTATGTTTCACTTACTAATGAAAAGACAGTACCTGGTACTGTATTAGAATTCAAAGTATGATTGGCTGATATGGCATCATTAAAAAAACAACCAGACTAAAGACATAACGTTCAAATTAAGGAAATGCAAAGAAACTAAGAACAATTGCTAAAATAAATATGACATTATTTCAAAATTTGCAGAAGAACTAACTTTCACCAACCGAAAAGGGTATTAGGGGATTTAGTGTATCCTTCCATCCTGAAAACTTCCTAAGATGTACATTTGAAAAGTAGATAATTGTTGCTTAATAATAGGTTGTATGTACTTTACTAAGAAACACTGTGTACTAACAATTCATCAAGAGTATACTATATTTACTGCATTCATTTTATATATGTGGATAAGAATACATTATATAGAGTGATCCTATCTTAATATACTCATGTATTTATATTGTAATTTTGCAAATATTTTCAGTAAAATAAACATTTATCTGAGCTGCACAATCTGAAGAGGATGAAATTGGAATATACCCTCAGACATTCAGTTTTAATAAGCAGCTGCCATGGAGAGTTGATATTTGTACTATCATTCCTTTAGATTTTATGTTTATTTTAATATTTAAATAGGATTTGATTGGAAACTTGAAGTAGTATAGTGAAAATAATTTTTCATAAGTATGACTTTCTTTTTTCCTGCTTATTTCCAAGTGTCTTTCATTGGAACTATTTATAAAATCTTATTCAAGCTTTATGTAAGAACTTTGCTTAGTCATCACGTAGTTTGAAGTCTGTCTTTTACCAAAACACCAAACATCTTTGGTATTGGCAGGATAAAAATCTAAAGTAAACCACATAGAGAATTTAAAATTGACTCTGTGCCAACAGAATAATACAGGTGTAATATTTATCCCTGCCAAATACAGATTCTTAAAATCTGTCTGGAGTTTCCTTCAAGATCCCTTGAATTTCATAGAGAAATGATGGCTCATGGCTAGCCCATCAGAGGAAGAGAGGAGAAATGTTTGCATGCTGTTGAGACAATCTGTAGTCCACAGTGCTGTAGAAATGAGGTACAGGGAAATGTGTTTTTCCCAATTTAATGTCTTGTGAAAATTGAGTTTTTAGATCACAGTTATTCTGTCATACTCAAATT